AAGCACTTTAATATGCTGCTCCAGCAGCATGCTTACACAATCCATATAACCAGCCTCCTGCCTGGCTGCATTCTCCAGAACGTGCAAAGACATAAGCTCCTCAAATTATCACTGCGACAGGCCATATTTCCTATTATTTAGATATCTATTTCCCATCACTTTTCAGACAGAAGTATACGCAATATAAACTAAATATCATAGACATGAAACAGTGAATCTTCCCGTACACAGGGGAAATGTATGACGCAAACAGGTTTTTAGGAGGCCGGGCTCATCCTTCTGGCAGCAGGCGCCGGTCTGAGCAAGCCACGAGAGGGAGCGCAAACCCCGTTGAAAAAGCAGCAAACCCGGAGGCAGAAGCGCCAGGTCCAAGCAGCGTTTGATGCCAAGTCTGTTGCTAATAACCTGCGTTCTGATTTGTACTGAAAATCAATTTAATTTCCTCTTCAGCTTTAATTCGTTACAAGTAATTCTTCGATACTAATCTGGTAAGGGGAGAGAGAGAGTGAAAGGCATTCATAATGTTCAGCTTGAGCTAGATAAATGAAACGCAGAGCCAGGAGGGAGAAGCAGGCAAAGCTGCCCTTGGGTGTCAGACAAGTGGGACTAAAAGGCTGCAGCGCTTGCCTGCGGCGGGAGAAAGGGACATCAGCTCCGCACCTCTCTCTCCTGCTTTTGCTGCCACCGAGGGAGGAACTGGGACATGTGCAAAGTACCAGTCCGACTCAAAAGGGGCACCTACTGCCAACCTTTAATAGCAGCAAGAACGGACATCCCCACGCCCTGACACTGTTCCAGCCTCACCCCCCTCCTCTTTTCTTTATGAGAGACAAAAAATAAGGCTTCTTGACTGCGGTGAAATAGACTGACAAAAGAAATACCTGAGAATGGACATTTTCAAATGGAGATGTTTATATGTGGGTCAAACATGACTTTGTGAAACCTTCCACCATCATAGTCAGATTTTTCTCAGTTGTTACCTCTGAATATTATACAGTTAAATTCCACTTCTGAGCTGAAGGTTGTTTATATAAGCCAAGGATAAATGTATTCTTAAAGTTTGTTCTTTCCGGATGGTTTAGCACAACATAGTGCTTGAATATCCATTTCACTTAGCTGTTGCAGTATTCTAGCAGGAAACAGCAGCAGGATACTGCTGTTATGCAAAGGGCAGGAGCACAAAGGGTAATGCTTGTGAATACTGATCTCCTGACTGATGTAATCATTGTGAGAAAAGATAATGTCTTAGTCATATAAGATCTGACTCTTCTGCATAAAGTCAGATACATTCAGCATCAATCTAGCTTCTTCTGGGGTCTGAAAGGGGAGGAAGTTCACAAGGCTGTGGAGCAGATCTGCACCACACATCCCGGAGTTTCTCGCCTCTATGGGATCCAGGGCAGCAGCAGAAGTCCCTGCACTGGGAGGTCGGTGGACACAGCTTCAGGATTCATGGCTGCCTTAAAACACAGGGCGAGAGGGGATCCTTCCCCCAGCATGAAGGAGATACAGAAATGCCGCCCAACAGAGTCCTGACGCAGCAGCTGTTGGGAGGCAATTTGACTGAGGCTCCTGCATTTGCAAGTTACTCATGGCTTTGTAGCTAAATCTTTGTCTGGATTTTTCCAGTAATGCATGAAATCAATGAAACATCATTAAGAGAAATGAATTGGCTCTGCGGCTATCATGGTACTCACCACACCCGCCACTTCCTTTTTCATGACAGGATCATGAAAGTTCTTACCAACTAGTTTATTTAAAATCTTTATAAATAATGTACTCTTCTCATCTCTTCTTAACCTTTTGCCCTTTACACTTTCTCTTTCTCCTCTTTCTTAGTCTGCGTTTCTGTTACTTTAGGAACAGCTAGTGGTCCAAATGTTAATGCTAACCATCTTCTTCTTCCATTCCCTGTAATGGGAAAGGTCCCACATGAGTCTCTGCATCTCCACTGTAATAAACTAGCCAGTTGCAACATCCCCAGAATAGACCAAAGACAGACTCAAAATTTTAAATAACTATAACAAATCTGTAAATAACCTGGTGATACTCAAAGACTGACTGTTATAATACTTAAATTCTGTCGCAGGGTGTGAATTTTGCATCAGTGCTGCAGTTACCCACAAAAATAGTTAAGCTTAAAAGACGAGCAAATAGGACTGCAGCATGTTAACTTCACATGGCCACACTTACAATGCTAGTGGCACTTTACAGGCTATAAGAACAAGTTACCTCAAAGAGTTCGCAAAATTTATCGTTCTAGGCCATCGATTTACACAAAGTAGCCAAGATCACAAATTTACAACAATTTTTAGTGTTTAGTTTTCATATACTGTTACATAATTGTTAGCGTGCTATGTATTGTAGTGGTAAATATGCTGCACATCCATTATGAAAAAAATCATATATTGTTATTCTTAATTACTCAAATTTTACCTTCATAAATCTGAAAAGTGGATAGTTTCTCTTTACAGAACCTATACTTGTTCTTTACAAAGGTCAACTAGAATCCTAACACTATTGTTTTCTCGGGGCCTAATGCTACCTTTCAAGCTGTAGTGATGATACCAAACCATCTCCCTCTCAGTGGGGAAAAAATTATTTCACCAAGAACACATTCATATAAATAAGGTACATTTAATCACTCATTGAAGGCTCAATACACAGAAAATACAAAAATGCCAAACATTTTGTTAAAAGTATGGAATCATTGCATGGAATGCTAATGTACATCTTTCTCCCTTTGTAAATATAAACGTGCATAGATGTAGTGATCACTGGCTGAAAACATATTTCTTGACATTGCAATGAACATGCTGTAGGAAGGGCAGATCTTTGACATCATAAGACAACTTATCTATGCATTTGTAGCAAAACAAAAAGAACAAATATGAAAGAAACAAAGACAAGTATTTATCATCTGTTTTCTCTCAGATTATATGATCTAATCTAGAAACCAAAGTGGACTCTGGATGCACTTCTAAACATGACACAGAGCCAGTTTACCAGTGCTAAAGGAATTTGCCTCTTCACAAGCACAGGCACAAGCACAAAGTCAGTCACTTGTTCTGAGTTGATGTGACTACCTACTTCCAGGAACAAGCTGAAAGCTTCTACATTTAGACCCTGACTTTTTCTATTTATTTTTGAAGTTTTATTCTTGACTGCAGCACCAATGGCTACAGGACCAACAGTTATTCAGCATGTTCCCTTTATACCTCTCAGAAGATTTGCCTCCAGAGGAAGCAAATAGTTTCTTAATTGCTTTTCTTACAGTTTTCACAGAGATGGAAAAGCTGCATGTTGCAGTTCCACACTGTCCATTAGCAGACAAAGGCAGAGAAATTACACTAGTCCAATGGATGTGGTAGAGAACCAGCTGCCATAATTCAAAATTAGTTCTCTAACTTACCCAACACTGAGAAGAAACCATGTCTGGGGCAGAATCCTGTCACCGTTTTGTACCAGCAACACTTACAAAGGTGTGTGTGTGGGGAAATATCTCTATCTGTTCTGTTTACTGAGCTCCAAGTAAGACAATCATTACTCACATTGCAACTTAGGCAAAAGTTACCCTGCTCTTCTCTAACCCTTACTTTCAGCAAAGTGCCAGAGCAGGTTCAGGGTTAATATAGCGTGATGCTTCTGGTCCATGTGCAGAATAAATGGATGCAAGTTAAAGATGCATAATTCACATATTGGAAAAAAAAAACAAACAACCACAAACCAAAAAAAACCCCAGTCCTTTCTTTTCACTGACCTTTTTTCATTGGTGCTTTGACTTGCATGATTTTCTTCACTATGTAGCTCAGGGGTCCTACCAGGTAGCACCGAGAGAATGGTTGCTGAGTACACAGGGACAGCTTTCTGGGGGCTTCTGGTTTAACCATAACCTCAGTAGTTGTCAACATCACTTTTCCCACCCCCCACCCTGCAAAGCACCAATTCAGTCCAACTAAACTGCCACCAACTTCAAATGTTTCTTCCTCTTCCATGGTAACTCCATGCACTGGGAATGCTGGCAGTTCAAGGATCACAGGATAACTGAAGCTGGAAGGAATCTCAGGAAATCTCCAGTCTGACTTGTTCCACTGCTTGGCTGTCCTCGGGGTGAAAAAGGTTTTCCTTATATCCCATCCAAATCTCTCTTATTTCAGTTCATGCTCATTGTCTGTGATGCTTCTACTATGAACCGCCCTGAAGAGTCTGGCTCCATCATGCTGAAGACCTCCCAATCTGTATTGGAAGGCTCCTATTAGGCTCCCTTGAAGATGTTTCATCTCCAGGCTGGTCCAGTGCAGCTCCCCCAGCCTCTACTCACAGGCCAACTACTACAGCCCTTCACAATCTTGGGGGACTCCACTGAACTCGACACAGTTTACAGATGCCTTTCTCGTACTGGGGTCCCAAAACTGGATGCAGTATCTACATGTGGTCTAATGGAGGGCTGAGTTGAGGGCGTAATCACTTCCAACTACTGGCTCCGACCCTGTCAGTACAGCCTGGGATGCTGATGCCCTTTTCTTGCTGCCAGGGCACACTGCAGGCTCATACCCTGCTCATTGAGCAACAGGACTCCACATCCTTTTTCACAGAGCTGCATCCCAGGCAGCTCGGGCCCAGCCTGCTGTGCTGCAGCATCATTCTTCCTTCCCAAGCGCAGGACTTTGCACTTGCCCTTGCTGAACTTTGTCACGTTTCTGTCAGAACATTCCTCCAGCCTGACCGAGTTTTCCTGAATGGCAATCCTACAACATGCTTTAAGAAAATTTAGAGTAAAGACATCCGTCAACAATTTTGGCACAGATGCGGAGATTTTGGTACTGTGACCAAAGCCAAACTGCCTGCAGTGCTTCAGATGTGTAATCCCTTTGGTATTTCACAGCTAAAGTATGTGGTTTCCTTTGGCAGCCCATGGACACTGCCACTGAAACCAGTCTCCAGCCTAAACAGTCTACTGGCTGAAGTCCACCTCATTCTCACATCTCTTTAGCTCATCCCTATAGTGGCTTTACTTGGATGACATTTACTTTTGTCTCGTTGTGTTTACTGTTGTCATCTATTTGCTGAGTGTCATCACTGGTGATAATAAAAATGATAGAGGAAGAGCTGAAAGTCACTTTCTTCTTTGGCCTGTCCCTTGCTTTCTGAGACATAACTATTGGTCGTATTGGTTTGTTATTCCCTGTTGCTGGTGTCTCCTTCACGCTCCTCTGGAATCTCATCAGGCGAAAGCACAGGAGTTGCAAAAGGCATTGACGAAACTGCAAGAGAGAATAAATAGAATGAAGTTAGAACTTCCTAAGTGTTCAGTTCCTAAGCGCTCACTATCATGTATGATCCAGTGAAGACAGCAGTACAGTAAATGACGCAACATAACCGATTTCTGCATGTCTTGGCCTTGTTCTGAGTCTGTTTCAGTGCTGTAACAAACATGGTGGCTTTTTAGTGGGTGCTTTTTTCCATAGCTGAAGAGGATCCCCTAGCCAGCAGAGGGCACTGAAATGCAATTTAGTATTTTACCAGCAGCGAGATCTGCAATAGACAATCTGCAAAGAACAAAAGGACTAAGCTCCAAAGTGTTTTATAGGTATTGTTCCTGTATTCAAAAATCACACATTTGATCTAGTGGGAGGTGGGGCAGGAGGGGAGAGAATATTCTCAGAAATGCTTAACAGGAGGATGCAAAGGGAAGGAACCAGGGGAGGAAGGGGGAACAAAGTGTTGTTTTCTTCCTTTTAAGTAACTCCAGGGTTTGGAATTTTAACAAAAGCATGGAATGTAACAGATGTAAAATGAAATTTCAATGGTTTGTAACACATAACTAAAATGTTCCCACTGAATATGGAAGGAACAGAAGTCTTTCAGCTAACTAGAAGCCACTTATGATACAGGAAGTTTGTTCTACCTTTTGACTAAATAATGCAAAGTATTCAGTGAATGCTCACATCAGTATATAGAATGATAATACCAGTAGTAGAGCTGTTTTAAATGCTCCAGTTGCGGTCTCCCACACAAGGCAAAGCATTCAGATAAAGGGGTTAAAGGATGCACTCATTCAGTAGTTCCATGTCTGCACACATCTAAAGCTCACATATGATCCTTTGGGGAAAGTCTCTGGTTTTACAAGAAATAAGTGGGCAGCTTGCTCTTCTTTCAGTAACCCATAACAAGACATGCCTGCAATGTATGGGGAAAAAAAAAACCCAACCACCACCACAACAACAAAGGCAGGGGGGTGTGTGGTACAATTAACCTTTTCTTTGAAAAGGGAGCAGGAGATTTTTCTCAACAGCCTTCCATATAGCTGTGTCAAGGATTATTCTGTGTTATCCTGCATGGCCAGTGACTTTGTTTTTCCAGCTATTATGCAAGCAGCTCTCTGACATGCCACTTTGGAACAAAGTTTTGTTACAGGAAATTAATCCTTCTCTGACATGGGGGAGGCAATAGGTCCTGTTGGGAAGGGGACCTAGAAACCTACAAGACGATAGAGAAAGATAACCTGGTGCAAGACAATGGTCATGTGGAGCCCTTGAAGATTTCAGAGATACCGTGGTACCTCTGAGGAGCACGGAAGTAAGAAGGCACAAGCATGTCAGAACAGGTCAGAGAGAGGAAGGATATTATAAAGAACTGGTTTTAGGATTCCTTCTGAAGGAAAAGTAACCCAGAAAATAAGCAGAAAATTATCATTTTGGTCTTAAGCTGGAATTAGAGGTGAGCGAGTAGTACTTCACAACGTGTCTCCAATAAGAATGTTAAGCTGATTTGTTCTTTCCCTGGCTATGGCTTTACCGGCATTGTGCCCAGTACCAGTTTCATTTGCTTCTGGGCATCAGAACCTACAAAATCTTTTTCAGATAAACTATTCAGCCTGACATCTAGGTATAGAGTCAGTGTCACTGTATTTAAAAAAAAAAAAAAAACAAACCGACAAACCAAAACCAAAACCACTCTGTTGAAAAACACTCTTTTGGAACATAATTGTTGTTAGCTCCCCATATCCAGGCCAGCTCTGACATCATGCAGCTATGTAATCCTGGATCAGCCTGCTGTGAAATGAGCTGTGGGGGAAGAGCTGCAAGATGCCATGTTGGGGGCCTGTTGCCTTCACTCAGGAAGAGCATTTAAGCTCACCCTTGCTCTTGGTCCTGTCCTGACCTGCACTGCAGCCTTTGCCTTGCTGCCCACCTGGCTGATCAGACCAACTGACTTGGCTGCCTTGTCCCTACAGACTCCCAGCGGGCCCAGGCTGCTGCCTGGCAATTGCAAACCAGTGCAGGAAATCACATAAAATTCCATCTCTATCATGAGCTAAAAGATAATGAAAACCCAGGGAAATCCTTCTAGCAATCATTCATGAATTTTTACCCTTTGTAAAGCGATTCTATTAAACTCCAGATACCTCTAATTCCATACAATCTTGGTTTCAGAAGCTTACAATGTGTATACTACATTTCCAGTCAGTGTTCTGGGTTATAGTGAAGCTATTTTAATGTCTAAATAAATTCACCAACACCGCTTAACTGCATTCAGTGGTTATCTTCACAGTACTGATGATTTACAGAAAGGTGTATATTTTTCTAGCTTCCACATATTCGACATGCCACTGATAACTCCAAATACTTCCATTCTCTCTTTGCTCTGTAAAGCACTGAAATGAGCTACTTACCATCATTAAATCAGCAGTCTACTTTTCATAATGAAGACTACAAAAGCAGACAAAAATAAAAACTTGTTTCTCATAGATAAGTATGTCTTCTTAACAGTCTATAACTTGTCTCCAAAGAACATTTCACTGTCATCCACATGAGATTCTGGCTTTGAATACAATGAAGATCCGAGAAATGTTACTGGTGTAATATTTGAAATACTATGCTGAGTTGTTCAATCCTTGTGTTGCCATAACAGAAAAGTCAGAGGCAAGTTTTTTCTTCCTAAAAAACAGACAGCGGATATTCTGAATTTTTTCTGATGGAGTTCTGTTGTGGTAAGGGACTGATTCAGATAAGATTTTCTAGTTGGAATCCATTTCATGGGTAAACTGTCAAAACTAGACACATTTTGACACTCCTTCCCCTCCCTTTCATGTGAGTGCTCATGTGTGAATTCAGACATTTAAAATACAATTTCTGATAAAGTAGTACTTTAAGCACCATCAGGGATTTTAATTCTACTAGATCTTTACCATTTATCCTAGTTGCTCAAATTTTTTAAAAAATCTAAACTTTACAGATTAAAGTAAATCATATCTAAACTCCACAACTGTGGTATTGGCTACTAATAAGAAAATCTTTAACGTACCTACCTTTCTACTCATGAAGATATAGATGACTGGATTATAAGCAGTGCTTGACTTGGCAAAGAAAGATGGGATGATAGCTACTGTTGGAGTTACAAGGTTGCTATAGCCATACGTTTCCAGGAGGGAGACCACTGCATAGGGCATCCAACAAATAAGGAATGTGGAGATCATTAAGAAGCACATTTTTGCCACCTTCTTTTCATATTTTAGAAGTTTGATCACTTGAACAGTCTGGAAATCTTCCACACAGCGAAGCTGTAGAAGAAAAAGATAAAATGGGAAAGTAAAATAGCTTTATATTTTACTTGAAACTGAGTAGTTCTACATTTATTTATGAATAACTAACTCTCTAGTTCAGTTTTAGGCAAAAACACTATATACCTTATCTTGTGAACCACAATCCTTCTGGAAGTTAACATCATAATATACACAATAAAAGTCTGGGAAGTAAGTGTAAAAATATAATTTGAGGAAAAACAGAAGAGCAAATCTACTGGAAAACAACAAATCCAGTGATGTAACAAAACATGCTGCACTTACAAGTATTTCAGAAAATTAACGTGCCCTCATCCACAGGCATAAGCAACTTCAGTTTACATTTAGCGGTCCTATGTCTGACTAGTTAGACAATCCTGTAGATTTGTGCCATCAGCAATGTTCAGAGAGAAGAAAATTTCATGAACAGATTTCTCCATACTGCTTTGCCACTTATATTGTTACCTTAAAACTATGAAATCTCTATTTAAAGCGGAATACTGGGCAACAGGTTCCCAGTGTTATCTGAGTGAGTCATAAAATGAGGAAGAGATGGAACACATACGTGAGTGCTCTCCGTAGCAGTCATCAGTTGTGCCAATACCATTGACCACAAACCTGAATGGGTCCAGACTAATTACACATGGAATATGAAACATTAACACTTTCTGACACTAAAGATCTGGACTGAATTAAAACGGGTTGCCCTAACATGAAAAACTGTTTTAACAGGGCTTAATCTCTACTTGGAAGGGTTATCTTCTCAAGAGTGGTAAGGAGGAGAGGTTCTTTTTTTTTATATATATATATATAAAGAATATACATATATAAAGAACCTATGAAGGTTCTTTAATCAAGAGAATTGCAAACAGAGTTTTCTTTTTCCCCTTTTTCAAGGGAGAATCTGATGTGGATTAGCAAGCATGAGCAGTTCCCTAACCTGCCTCCCAGTAAAACTACACAATAAATAGACCTTGGTAGCTCTAGGTTGGTTCTCCTCCAACCCTACATCCTTCCTAGAAGTGCCTGACATGGATGAACCTTAAACTTTCAAAAGTTTAAATAGTAAACAAGAGTGCAAATTTAGGCTCTGACCCAAGCTTAATATACAGCATCAACATTTTTCCGTGAAAATATTACATTAAGAGAAGTCTTATTTGAATTAACTTACCATTCTTACTGCATATAGAATATGGCCATAGCAATAGGCCATGATCCCAACAGGTGCTACTAGACAGCCAAGGAAAAAAAGGAGCACAAAGGAGATATCATTGGGGTCTTTTGACTTCCAGTCCACAGAGCAACCCAATCCATGAATTTCCAGTGTGTATCTGTTCCAGCCCAAAAGAGGTGCTCCAGTCCAGGCTAGTGAGTAGAGCCAGATGTATGCAATAGCCCGCCAAGACCAAGAGAAGTTAATCACTTTTGCATGGACTACTCGAATATAACGTTCGTAGGCAAGAACAGTAAGAGTCATAATTGAAACAATTCCTGTAAGCAAAATAAAGAAAAACAATTAAATCATTCACAAACGTTGCAAATTGGACTGAAGTTCTCTTGATAAACATTTCCTTTGCTAGCAGGTTAACTCAAAGTTAGCTAGTTCATATTATGAATCTAACACCAATAAGCTGTTTGGGTGACACCCCGTTACTCACTAACTACTAACTCAAACACTATAATGAACTTCAGAACTACTCAGAGTAGGGTGCTGGTATCTGACCCGTGATGTTTGATGCCCGAGAAGTAGGACCAGAAAAAAAAGAGACCAAGAAGCTAATACTTCTTCCTAAACATTACTTGATTAAATGAGAGATCATGCTCCAAGGGTGGGTTTTTTGTTGGCAATTGTTTGGTGGTTTTTTTGTTGTTGTTGTTGGGGGTGGGGTGGGTGTGGATTTTTGTTGTTTTTTTTTTAAAGAAAAACTTGCCATATAAAAATGAGATAATCAACAATAACAAAATCTGCTAGAAACCTAGGGAATTCAGAGTTGAGACTGAAGTCAAAGAAAGCCTTCCACAACTGAAACCACAGATATGCACCTTTAACGTGAACAAAATGACTAACAGAATTCCAACTTCTTTCAAGATTTCCTGGAAGTCTTTGCATTCCAAAGAACAACCAGGAAAGCAAAGTGTTATGTCGCTGGAGTCCAGTCGGGAAGACATTGTGTTATTTTGAGTGTCCTTTCCTATATTGCTGCTATCATAAAAATATCACAGTTTTTGTTTCAATTATTTGTGTGCGTTCTTCCTTTTCTGTCCACCTCAACCCCACTACATACTTATTAACATGTTATGACAGAAATCACAGATTATTTTCACCACTCAGCATTACCCTATCCAGACACTTTTATGATTTAATGAAGTCAAGGCAATTCTGTCTTCATTAGGATATAAGGATTTCTGTTTCAATGGTCTGTGAAATTTGATGATCAAAAACCAAATTGCCCATCAGGCATGTGTCAGTCCCCTGAAATCTGTAATGATTCAATCATCAAGCTCATATACACAGCCTTTTAAACAAGAAAAAGGTGTATTTCACAGCACTCTGTGAGGTTATACAAATATCTGTGTCTAAATTTATGTACATTTTCTCTAATATGAAGCACAAGTATTTTGTCAACCATACACAGAGCATTTCATTTCTTCAAGTATATTCATATTTGTCATAACATGCATCTATATAGCTGTGAGAAGGTTAAACATGCAGATTTCACTGCCAAAGAGAAAATAACCATTATATCCACTTCAAAGGATATCACAGATATCTGATCTCACTTTGAAAAAAGGATAAGCATTTAAGGAAGACAAATTAACAATAGCACACTCAAGCACCAGCAACATGGATTTTAGGAAGGCAACTAAGAATAACAAATTCTAGAGCAACACGTAGCGTCTGTGTCAAGGCATTCAACAGCAAAACCAGCATATTATTAGCCAAGTATCTCACAGTAGGGTATCCTTTAAGATCTCTAAGAAAGTTACTTTATCCTGCAAGTATTAGAGGATTCCTTTTTACAGGTAATTAGTTTAGAAAGCTTTCTTGATTAACAGGAAGGATTTCCCACTCTAAAGGAAAACGTGCCACATTCTTTTCATGGCTGTCTTTGAAATGAAACAATGAATACATACATTTTTTGCCAGTGTTATCTTTAAACCTTCATCACAAAGAGAAGTAGATATTGCTGGGCATGCAGAAGGCAAGGCATCCTGCTTTCACAGTTAGTTTGTATGGTTTTGTAGTTTTTTTTCTTGTATGTCATTGCTATAGAATTTCATTTTAGTGACTTGAAAGAGAAATTGGACTAGCAAATGTGGACAAGAGGGTTTCCAAAAGACTTAAGGTTTGTTTGGTTGGTGGTTGTTTTTGTTAAATGAAGTTGACAGGAAGTCCTTCATGCCCTTTTTCAGGGCATAACATGCTGAAAATACATTGAAAAATGTGGGTCTAAGCAAGATCTTAGCAGGAATAAGAAAATAATTACATAATTATATAGGTACTACTCTACACTTATACTAGCTCAGATAATTCCTTTATACAATCAAATGCCGTCTACTTCCTGAATACAAAGTAAGGCAAGAAGTTCTCCTCCCATTTCTCTGTGCCCAAAGATCAGGAATTACAAATTTTTTACCTGATGGTTATTAAAATCTTCCACAGACATGTTTACAGAGGAAAATTCACATCACTCAACTGTAGCCTCAGTTTGCTTACATAGAGCACCAAGGCTTTGTCTGTGATGAATGGAGGGAAAGAGCAGCTCCTCTGGATGGTGAGTCAGAATTCCTGAATTAACCTCTTCTCCTTTACCACCTTCTTTCTCCCTACAGTGGTATTCAGTGACTAATGTCCCTGTGTACGCTTAATATTTCACCATCAATTTTTATATGCGAGCACTGAACTCTGGCCACGACAAAATAATCAAAAGCACACACGCTTGGTTGAAAGTACAGGTGTTCAGAAGCAATAATTTATTGAGTCCTTGACATTCTCAAGGAAGTCATTGGAAGCTCGGTATCACTAAAAATTTGTACTTACACACAGACCTTTGAACAGCTTTAGATCAAGCCCCTTTTCAGAAACCAGTGCTCTTCAAAGGGATACCTGCGTTTTCTACCTGAACCATAAAAGGGACCTTGGTTAGCCCATTGGACAGTATGTACTGAAATGCAAATCCCTGTTTTGTTGGAATTCAAGAAGTGTCTGGTAGCACGCAGACATGAGGCAAGGAATGCAGGTCACAGCATATTACAGTAAATTCCTCTTTGATGCAGGATCTCTACTGTAACAAGATCATAGCTGTAAGAGTAGAGGTTGAAGTAGTTAACCATAAAAATAGAAATTGGATACAAATGCTTTTGCAGGATAAGACAACATGTAGGGATTTTTGGCCAAAAAAAGCCCCTCATGTGCTGTGGAGCCATGGCTGCCTGTTTATTTGTGGTAGATGAGAGAAATACCTGCAAGAACAGGAATACTGAGATCTGCCCTAAGAAGATGAGTTTTAAAACGTGTATTAGAAAGATAAAGTCCATAACTAGAGGAAAAAACACATTAATTCTGGTGGAGCATGCTGTAGATAATGCTGTTAAGAGTCACCTGGGTTTTTACTTCTACATTCTTTTTACTTCTACAGTGGGCTACATGACAGAGGAATTCATAAGAAAACAAAATTTCAATGTGTTCAATGGGTAGAAGCTATCTTGCAAGCATGTACCACATCTAAGTAAACATGTTTATAAAAGGACAGATAAGCACCTTTTAACTCTCAGATAAGGGATTACCAACAAAATACTTCTACTGATTAAGTGGAATTGAACTACAGGCAGCATCTCTCAGCATTTGGACATTGCTTGAGTGGAACAGAAATAGCCAGAGGAACAACTTCTGAGTAGTGTCATCAGCATTTCAGAAGCCATTGAACTCACAAGAATCTCTAAGATTGAACTGCGTTTTTTGCTCTCCTCTCCTTTATCATTAAAAAAAAAAAAAAAGTATGAAAAAGAAAGGAGTATGAAATACTGCTATGCTCCCATAGAATGCAAATAACTTTGTCAGAGTTGTAAATTTGAGTGCGCATCTTTTTAATATAGAAATTCTATAGAGCAACTCTCATGAGTTAAGTTAAACACGATTACTCCATAGGAATCTAGTAGTCGGTCTTTTTTAGAACTGTTTCCATATACTTTACATTAATCCCAGGAACAAAAATGCAAGTTGACGCAAACACAGATCCACCATCTGTGAAGGAAGAGTTAGCATGCAAACTATTACAGCAGCTTGATCCCTACAAATCAATGGGCCCTGACATTATCGACCCGAGGGTGTTAAGAGAGCTGGCTGATGTCATTGCCAGGCCGCTCTCCATAATCTTTGAGAAGTCGTGGAGACTGTGGGACGTCCCAGAAGAATGGAAGGTGGCTAATGTCACCCTCATCTACTAGAAGGGCCTAAAGGAGGATCCAGGAAATTACAGGCCCATCAGTCTTACTTCAGTCCCTGGGAAAGTTATGGAATAAATCCTGTTGGGGGCTATCACAAGTCAAATGAAGCACATGACTGGGAAAAGCCAGCACAGATTCACCAAGGGCAAATCATGGTTGACAAACCTGATTACCCTCTATGACAAAGTAACCTGCTCAGTTGATATGGGGTGAGCAGTGGACATCATCTAATGGGATTGCTCTAAGGCTTTCCATACAGTTCCCCACAGCCTCCTCCAAAAGAAACTGATGCATTACAGTCTAGACAAGTGGTCTGTGCAGTGGGTGGGGAACTGGCTGACAGGCTGCACCCAGAGGGTAGAGGGAAATAGCTCCTTTTCAAACCGACAACCTGTCACAAGCAGGGTCCTCCAGGGATCGATATTGGGCCCAATGCTGTTTAATAGCTTCATAAGGGATCTGGATGATGGGATCAAGTGTACCCTGATGAAGTTTGTTGATGGCACCAAACTGTGTGGGGAAATAGACACTTGAGAAGGGAGAGCCACCCTGCAAGGAAGACCTGGATAGGCTGGAAGAGTGGACTAACAAGAACAAGTGTAAGGTCCCTGTAAGGTCCTAGCAGCACAGGCTAGGATCTACTCAGCTGGGGAGCAGCTCTGTCGAAAGGGACCTGGGGGTCATGGTAGACAAGCAGCTCAATATGTATGAACAGTGTGCTGCTGCAGCAAAGAAAGCCAACAGGATGCTGGGTTGCATCAACAAGGGCATCACCAGCAGAGAGAAAGAAGTTGTTATCCCACTCTACTCAGCACTTGTCAGGCCACACCCAGACCACTATGTTCCATTTTGGTCCCCACTATGCAAAAAAGATGCAGACAGGCTGAAGAGGGTCCAGAGAAGGGCCCCAAGATCATCAAAGCACTGGGAAGCCTGCCACATAAGGAAAGGGTGAGAGAACCAGGCTTGTTCAGCTTTGAGAAAAGAAGGCTTAGGGGACACCTTATCACCATGTTCCAGTATTTAAAGGGAGGCTACAAAGAAGATGAAGACTCCCTTTTTACAAGGAGTCGCATAGAAAAGACAAGGGATAATGGGTACAAGTTACTCCTGGGGACATTCCGATTGGAAACGAGGAAAATTTTTCTCAATGAGAACAGTCATCTGAATAATCTCCCTGGGGAAGTGGTGGATTCCCCATCATGGGACACTTTTAAGATTCAGCTGGGCGGCGCTGTCAGGCCATCTTGTCTAGATTGTGCTTTAGCCAGCTGGACCAGATGAACCTTGAGGTCCCTTTCAACCTGATATTCTATAATTCTACGAGTATCTTTATTAGTGTACTGTATGATTTGATGCCTTTTTACAAAAAGAAATAAAGGTTGCAAAAATGTGTACAAGATAAAACTTATTCTCACTATGTAATTTGAAGGTTAAGCCTATGATTTCAAGGTTTCAAAAGTTACTACCACAAGTTGTTTAAGCCCTCAAAATACAGGCAGTTGCACAACTCTTGGTTATACCACAAATTGGGGAGCTCTTGCTTTTGATAGAAATAGTAACTGTAATTTTTGGCAGCAGTTTTCCAGCTTGTAAAAGTTTCAACTATTTCTTATTCCTAACTCTAAAGTATAAAAAAGACTCTCAATAGCAGAATCTTCAAAACTGTCAAAAATGAATGAGAAACTTGCGTTCCACTAAAAGTCAGTGGAACATAAGGTCCGGTTTTGCACTGAGGGCTGGGGGAAGTCTTTGTTTTTTAACAGGATTTCAGTACAGGCAAGGGCAAGTCTAGTACAGAAAACAATATTAATGCCCCCCCACACTCCTTATGCATCTTTTCTATTCTGCATCAATATGCAAGCAAAGCATATTTGATATTTCTAACACGAACTTTGAAAAAGAAGCAGCACAGAGTAGCTTTTGTAACTAGAATAGCCTCATGGACAGACCATTAAAGCATAAACTGACTTTCACATCTGTGAATGATCTGCAGCAACAACTGGAAGCCTTATAGGTTATTTGAGTTTCCCAGCTGTTGGGAATTTCAGCTATTCTGTGTGTGCACTTTGTGGCAACAATTTCCATTATCAAGCTGCAAAGCCATAGAAGCAGAAAATGCCCAAGGGTCTCGTACAACTCTAAGTAGCGAGAGCTGGAATATGCCTGCCACCTCCACACATAATGATATGAACTAATAACACTCACAGTAGCAAAAATCTTGAAAAAGTCTGTTCAAACTCAACCTGCCACAGTCAGTGTGCAACATGCGTTTTGACAGTCTGCAGGTTTTTTTTCCACATTCTAATAGCACTGTCAAGTTCTAACCAAATTTCTACATAAGAAAAAACCAAAACTAATGAGTTACTTATATCTTATCTGGATAATTACCTGTACCTGTACCCCTGCAGCACTGATCCCAAGGATGGAGAATTTCTTCTCAAATGAGAAAATTATAATTAAATGAGAAGTGGGGAAGGGAGAATTTATACATTTTGGTAGGTGAAAATAATTCAATTGGATATTTGCTCTGATGTCAACGGATGGTTTCAAGCAGCGTTTGTGATATATTCAACATCCCAGTGAGTACTGCTAGAACTTTACACATCTTGGTTATGATTAACAAATGAAAGAGCTGCATTTCCTTTTGAGACTATTTTAAGTTAGTTACTTTTTTCCTCATGGTAATCTAGGATTCTATTAAGTCTGCTCTATTAACCTATTAATGTCAATAACAAGATAGCCAACAAATATGACAACTAAAGAAGCAGCTACGGAGTAATTGTTAAATCTACGTATAAAGACACAGCTTTTATGAAGTAAACCAGAGCTTTTCACGAGACCTATCTAGATGCAAATTTCAAAGGGTTCAGTAAGAAGTCATTCATTTTTAAGCCACCCACAAATGGATTTAAGGTCTCTTTTCTTAAAGGGCCTGCTTCTAAAATTCCTGCCTCTAGCAGACTTATTTGCAGAGTTCTACAAGTCAGTTTTTAATCGGACTTTCCATCTTTAAAGAAAATAGTTTCTAAATCAGTAATAACTATCAAATAAGCTTGCAATGTACATGCTTATCAGTTTTCCCTTGAAGCCAAAGCTGTTGTATCAAAATAATTTCTATAAAAACTAATCCTCTAGATTAATGTGTTTTGTTCTGCAACATAACTAGCAGAAGTGTAAAAGTGGTTTCAGATGAACAGTTAAAGCTTGAAACAAATATATAAAAATTCACCTTTGTGTCATAGTTTCGTTAGATGTAGTGCATATTTGCTTGTTGTCCAGATTTTTCCCAGTGAATGTCACAAAGCTATAAAGAAGGCCGAGTGAAATTTATTATGGGTCACTGGAAAGAGTTTGAGTGAATCCTGAAGTCTTCATTCAAGCAAAATTCATATTAAACATTAATGGACCCTCTGTACATAAGCACTTCACTCATTATTCACTTTGGAATTAACCCAAAGCTTTCAGAATTATTTCATTCTAAAGATCTTCCTTTCTACATTAGGCTCTACTTCAACATCTTTCAATCATCTTTCCACTGTTAGTGATTTCTTCTTTTAAAACATTGTTTTATCATAAAGTTTATCTTGCACCCTAACAAGTCACTCTTTATGGTCAGTCCACAGTTCTGTATCTTTGCCCAATATTAACACTAAATGCTTGTGTCAGGAAGGATAGAGGGAATGGTTAGATGATCACAGTTAAGGGGCTTAAATGCAGGATTGTGTACAAAGCAATCAAAAGCATTGGTCATTTGTGGTTCAGATAAGCCTATTAAATTAATCTCAGTAAGACACACATCTGAAATAGGATGCATTTGGCGGATCTGATGGGTTATCTATGCTAGACATTAAACATTCTCTGCTTTTTCTGTGATCGTTAAGCATTCTTGGCATAACCTGTATTTAAAAACAATTAGGGATATATTGTGGTTTAACCCCAGTCAGCACCTAGGACCATGCTGCTGCTTGCTCACTCACTCCCCCTGCCCAGTAGGGTACGGAGAAGAAGAAGAAAAGGAGGGGAAAGGAAAAAAAAAATAATCATGGGTTGAGATAAAGACAGTTTAATACAAAAATGACAAAAAAGGAAAATAACGACATTAATAATGGTAAAAGAATACTCAAAATAAAGTAATACAACACAAGTCACTCCCACCACCCAATAACTGATTACCCAGCCTGTCCCGAGCAGTGATCCCAGATCCCTGGGCAACCCTCATTTATGTATGGAGCATGATCTCTCCATTGTGGAATATTCCTCTGGCCAGCTTGTTCTGTCTCCCTCTCAGCTTTTATGGGAAGCTGAAAAAGTCCCTGACTAAGGTAAACATCACCTGGCAACAACTGAAACAATATGCATTATCAGCATCATTCTCAACCAAACCCAAAACACAGCAGCCACCTACTGGAAAGAAAATTAACTTTATGCCAGCTGAAACCAGGGCAGGATAACATACACCTGTAGCCACCTTCATTTTCAAACACTATACAAGCCTCCATAATGATCACAATTTAGTTTGGATGACAGATTCATATTTAAATTAGAAGAATCAACTGATCAACAGATGTCATCTACTTGGACTTGTGCAAAGCCTTTGACACCATCTCACACAATATCCTGGTCTTTAAATTGAAGAGACATGGATTCGACAAATGGACCACTCGGTGGATAAAGAACTGGCTGGACGGTCACACTCAAAGAGTTGCAGTCAATGGCTCAATGTCCAAGTGGAGAGCAGCGATGAGTGGCGTTCCTCAGGGGTCGGTACTGGGACCGGTACTGTTCAACATCTTTGTCGCAGACATGGACAGTGGGGCTGAGGGCACCCTCAGCAAGTTTGCCGATGATACCAAGCTGTTTGGTGAGGTAGACATGCTGTAGGGGAGGGATGCCATCTAGAGGGACCTGGACGGGCTGGAGAGGTGGGCCCAAGCCAACCTCATGAAGTTCAACAAGGCCAAGGGCAAGGTCTTACATCTGGGTTGGGGCAATCCCAAGCACAAATACAGGCTCGGCAGGGAATGGCTGGAGAGCAGCCCTGAGGAGAAGGACCTGGGTGTGCTGATTGACGAGAAGCTCAGCATGAGCCAGCAACGTGTGATCACAGCCCAGAAGGCCAACCGTATCCTGGGCTGCATTAAAAGAAGTGTGGCCAGCAGGTCAAAGGAGGTGATTCTGCCCCTCTACTCCACTCTCATGAGACCCCACCTGGA